TTCTTATTTAATGGGAGTTACAAACACGTTATCAACATCTGCGAGAGTCAAGAGCTACGTGGAATATATCACAGGTCATTATCATCGTCTTTTCGTGGTCCCTAGGGAGGAAATAGTCAAAACATGCAGACGAATTAAAAGTACTGGATGAACAAATGAGAATGAAAATCAGAACGGCGCCGACGGAAAAAGAAATGGGGGGAGCCAGGATTGTGTGCACCAGCTAGAGAAAAAACAAGGCGAAAGAAGCATGCTTCATATTACTGTGAACAAATAAACAATTTTTTTTTTTTTTCTTGTAAACAACGAGTTGTCTTGTGGAAATGGAGCGTGCTGGTCCAGTTACGGTGTTAGAGGAAAATAACACATAACATAAACGTGTCGTCCGGTTTTCGCCCTCTATGTTATTCTCCTGTAACGTCGTTACCAGTTGTCACCGTAAAATTTAACTTGAATTTCAACGTTGGTGCTTTCGAGCTCTAAATAAATTTCCCACAGAGTAACAGTTCGCTTTTAGCCCATTGCCCGATCAAAAAAACTCTCCGTCAAAGCTGAAGTGTTTCTTCTTTTTTTTTTTTACTTTTTTGAGATAAAATATTAAACGTTAAAGTCAGTTTTGGTTTTTCCTTAATTTCTTCGAGGCGTTACCATTCTTTTGTAAAAACAGGGGCCCTACGCGACACAGCGGGACCTAGAGGGAACGCGACATCGTCGCCGTCTGCGATTGGCCAGTGACGCAGCGTTGACAAATCGCAAACGGCGGCGACGTCACGGACTCCCGGTCCTGCTTGGTCCCGCCGTGTAGCATAGGGCCCGGCGCCTTTTTTTCCAGTGGCCTCATGACGTCAAAGTAAAATAAACCATTGTTGTTGTTGTCGTTTATTTTATCTGAGCTGAACCCGGAAACTTTGCCTCCACCCACGTATACGTAGGAGGTCAATGTCGACCACCTGAACCACCTAGGAAAGCTATTGTATTTTTGCGCGATAGAGAAGTGCGTCACTCCGTCACGTATGGTCAGAGGCTCAGAGACAAAATATTCCGAAGGAACCTTGATCTGCACACCGAAAGCCTCGGAGTTGCCTTCACAGCACATTCCAGCCCTGAAGCAAAAACTTATATTTTCTGTTTGAAGGGGAACGAGTTCTCGAAAACTCTAGCCAGATACGTACTATCGAGTTCAAATGAAATGCGAACGGTGACGGAACTTCGAGCGCACCACCGGCGCCGCGTCGAAGCTTGGGTTTGGGTTGTGCAGGCGAGGTTCAAACACATCGGGGTAGGACGCAGGGGCGGCGGAGAAAAGCTCACCGGAGAAAAGCTCACCGGAGAAAAGCTCACCGGAGATAAGCTCACCGGAGAAAAGCTCACCGCAAAACCGGCAGATACGGAAAAAAGCTCACCAATATTTTTTTAGCTTAGCTTGATTCTGCGTAAAACGTTGCAATTTAACACAATTCGCATTCGTCACTTCATTAAAAATATATCCTCGCTTTTGTAATATTCTTGAGGTTCATTGGGCATATTTACTAATTCCTCAGAAATTAGTAATCACCCATTCTGTAAATTAATGAAGCCGCAAGTATAAAATCAGAACATCGTACACCGGTAAAAAAGGCAACAATTTATTTACAGCTGAGGGTGCGCCGTCGGTACCTCTGTCAGATAAAGAGGTTTGTTTTTTGCGAGCTAATATGAATAGCGGTGTGGTGAATAGGTTGAGGTCCAAATATTGTGTAGTGCCTAATAGATAAGTAGATGTTTGTTAATGTAATCAGTGTCGGCTACGCTGGTTTGTTTCTGTTAATTTATTTCCCTAACAAAACTTTAGTCGCGAGAACAGCTTCGTCCTGTCGTGTTTGTTGTCTTCACTCCGTCGTCGTCGTTTGAGCGGTTTTCATCATGTATAACGTTTACCAACTCGCCCAATTCGCTACCTACCTTACAAATGACTAGTTCTTATATAGCTCACGAATAACAAAGGAGACAGTGTGCACCTCTGAAGGTCATGGCTGGCGCACCGTAGAAGGACACTATCACACAAAGGGAACGTGCGGAAACACCAGCACGAACGGTTAGAAAGCGTGCGTGTCCGTGGAAGAAAGAAGCCTCGACGTCCTATTGACTGTTTTATCCTAGGGTGCCTCAATGTCCTTCTGTTTAGGGTGATGCCACCCTTTGTAGTACCACATGCCGACAGCACGCGCTCACGGGGAAAACACAAAGAATTCGACGAAAACAAAATGCCGCCATAGCACAGTCAGCGCCACAAGCGCGTGCAGGGACACGCTCTTTCACGCGCTTCTGAACAAAAAATAAAAATAAACGTGTGTGACAAAATGGCGAGGGGCCACCACCCTAAGCAGAGCGTACATGAAGGCACCCTATTTTATCCTGTTTTCAAATGTTAACAAAAGCTTCAAAGAGATAATAATAATAATAAATTGATATATGTTACGCACGATCCAACGGCCTCCATATAAAAAGAAGAAAACATATCGGTGAGCTTTTCTGCGCATACGCTCAATGGCCGGTGAGCTTTTCTCCGCATCCGCCGGTTTTGCGGTGAGCTTTTCTCCGGTGAGCTTATCTCCGGTGAGCTTTTCTCCGGTGAGCTTTTCTCCGGTGAGCTTTTCTCCGGGATTCAGGACGCAGACCCTCGCAGCGCCCTACTCTCCACCCCGTAGTTTTATCAGTTTCCAAAGGCCTCCAGGAGGCGCAGCACGTGTCGACGGCCACGCGCTCCAGTGCTCGTATACTTTCATTCGAACCCGATTGTACTACGTCGGCTACTGAATGTATCAAGATGCCAGGAATACACCCTAAAATGTATTTTAATACAGCGAATGCAAATGCTGTTCGGAACATATTATATCGCATTACATAAATAAATAAAAAAAATGATTTATGAAATACCATCGCGACACATTTGTATTGCGATACTGCCCAACCCTGGTTCCGTTCGCCTTTCAGTTATTTGTTTGGCCCTTTGTACCACACCTTTCTCAATATAATAAAAAAGAAATGCGAAAAGGAAAAAAAGCTGTGTGGTTTACGCTACGTGGCGACAGGTTAGTAACCAAACGAAGTCTAATTAATAGAATTATCAAATTGTCGATCTAATTTTGCGATGTAACGTTCGTAATTTTAGGTTGCAATGTCAGTCGCATGCATGCACTGACACATACTCTCCAGCACTTTATTGCTAAGGGTTGTCTGCCGCGTGGCGTATTCCCGGAAATTGATTGACAACATCAAATAAATAGGGCAAAAAAGTTTGCAAGTCTATTGCTCTGACATATAAGAACAAACTACCATTCCAATATTCCCAAATCTACAACACACCATGCGGCTTCTACAGCCCAGAAGGCGCATGTTCGACACTTCGGAAAGCGAGTAAAGCACGCGTACAGATGCCCAAACGCTGAAGATGGCACAGCGCCAGAAGCCCTTTATTGGAACAATTAAAATCACTACACCCGTTTCTTTGTGTGTGTGTGTGTGTGTGTGTGTGTGTGTGTGTGTGTGTGTGTGTGTGTGTGTGTGTGTGGGTGTGTGTGTGTGTTTTGTGTATCTTTATCTCTTTTTTTTTTTTAATGGGGATGTGCGGGTAGTGGTTCGAATCGAATAGCGCTGCGTCATTATTATATATCACAGTGCAAGGAAAAGCAACGTCGACAACAGGCTATCTAACAGTGTTGAAGCCAGGGATAACATGGAGCTATTCGATTGGAACCACTATTCGCGCACCCCTTATTTCAAATACGACAACATGTCATTCGGGCTTTATATCAAGGTCTATAAGTTGATCACTCACAATTCTCGTATTTGATCAATTTTCACAAGACTAAATTGAAGCAACATTGTATCGTGCTCAAACAGTGATCGCTAACCAAGGTTGCGGTCAAGAGCTACACACACACACACAAAAAAAAAACATGTTTACGCATTACACGTATTCCGGTTGAACACAATTTGTAACACCCAGAAACCTCCCCGCAACAGAGCATGAATACGTTAACCTCGGCAACACCGAAGAGTGATGCAAGTGTAGAAAGCAGAAGGGACGTTTACAGATATATTATTCAACCGTTCACAAAAAGTGGGCGCGCATTTGCATGCTTCCACTGCCGATTGTTTTACCGGAAAAAGGCTTCGACGCATTCTCCTATGAGGAAAATAACGCAAGATTTCAGACCAAGGTGCAACCTACGGAGAACTTTATTTCAACTTTAAATGGACCATGCGGAATGCTATGAGCCATGAGAGTCAATCCAACGTTGAGTGTGTGTACCGTGAATTCACGAGCGGCGCGTCGCTGCGCCCAACCGAACGGCCACGTGGCTCACTTTCACCTCTCGAGTGGCTACGACGACTCGTAATCGTAGGTAAGATCCGCTGTGGTGCATTTGAAGGCAAAACGGTCGCGATTGCGCAGTCCCTTGCAAGGCTGTATTTTGAGTAGCACAGGTTTCACCAGAATGGCTTGACCTCGCCGATGGCGTTCGTGCCGCACCTCCGAGCTAGTCTTTTACTATTATCTTCCTCGATAGGTGCATCGCGCTACGTAAACACCGCGCTCTGCTTTATTCATATGGGGCAGGTTCACGCCAGGGGGAAAAAAGCTACACTCCCCTATGACTATGCGCCAACATGGTCGAACATGCAACAAAAATAAACTATATGCAAACAGTTTTCTCTACTAGCCTGCACAAACATCTCGGTGACAACAATCAGCATTGTGAAACTCTCATTGGCCTCTCGCGCAACAACTCACTCTCCTTGGCAGCAGAGCTCGGTCCGTTAGGGTTTCATTATTCTTTGTAACCCCATCTATAAATTACCTTTCCCATGCGGGCGCAACTCTTTTTCTCGGCGCCAACACAAACCAGAATAAAACGATTGGCAAAATCGAAAACCAAAACAAAGAGAGGAGACAGGGAAGGCCACGAGGTATTGCCATCAAAAAGCCGTTTCAGCGGAGGCTTGAACGATCGTAGCGTTTCTCGATTCGACGAGCCGAAGCGTCTGGCAACCTGCGAATGCACGTCCGCCGCCCGGCCTCCGGCGAGCAGACGACGCAGTAGCTCGCGCGCCAATCATTCGTCATAGCTACGCGCGCTCCTGACGCCAGTTTGTCGTAGTCCGCCGCTGTATATAAGTGGACCCTTCCTCGGCTCACCGCTCGACTTTCGCACGCACAGCCTGAGGGAACAGGAAGAAAAACCCCGAATTCCTGACCGCTCGTACAACGAACAGAATCGTCGGCACACGCGTGGAAATCATGGCCCCCACAGCTGTTCTGCTGCTACTCGTCTCCACGTTTCTGCTTCTCGGTGAGTTGAGTTGGTCGGCATACGAAACGTGCCGCTACCGGTTTTCTCGTGTGCCCGAGAGTCCCCGACAAGACTCGTGTTTCCTCATTCCTGGGTCGTCTGCTTCTGGTGGGGCGCCGTCGCAGCGGACACTATCCGTGCAGCACCATTCCTTCCGCAGATTACTTATTATCCTTAGTTGGAAGAACCTGCGTCAACACTTCCTTGCGCCTTAACCGCCCCCCTCCCCCCCCCCCCCCCACACACACACACACATACACATTTTTTTCCCCGCTTCCCCGGGCCAACCCGCAAAAAAAGATGCAGAAACCCCAACCATACCACGCGAGCTCGCCACATTGCCAAGCAAGAGCGCACAATGTTGATTGAGAGTGGATAAGGGCATCTTTCTTTAACGATCTAGAGACCTATCTAAACAAGGCCATTACCTCAGGTAGCTGGCGCCTCAGGCAGCTGGCACCTCAGGTATTGCCGGCGCCTTAGGTTATCGCAACTACCAAACCTAAAAAGAAAACAAATTAATCGCTAGATGTTTGAGAGCGTGTGCTTAGTCTTCCAGAGTATTGTTGCACACTGTATATATATATATAAAAAAATTAGCCAGTGCAGTGCATGTGCTAGCCTGGGGTCTTTAACACGACGGCAATCCGCTACGAGGTTCATCCAGATTGAAATGGGGAGAAGTGTGGTTTGAACCCACAGGATAACTGGGCTCTGCAGCGCGACCTTTCGCTCCACGTGCTCCGAGCTACGGTGCGCCAGCACGCCGGGCCGCCGATCCCCCTACCAAAGCAATGCGCTCGGGCGTCTAGTCTGTGCTGAGCGAACAAGCGACGACGAATTTCGTCCAGCGTCGATCGTTTTGCGCGCGGCGTCAGGACAGCATACTTGGGTAGTAATTCAATTACTACCCAAGTATGCCGGAGACGGCGCTTCACAGCGCCGTCTTCGGTGCGAGAACATGGCAAAATATTGAAAGAAAAAAAAATTGAGCTTCAGCTTTCAGCCGATGTTGGGAATTTTAATTGCCTATGAAGTTACTTTTCTTTCTTTTTGCCAGTTTTTTCTTTTTTTTACGTCTCTCTTCCAGTGCTGTCGCATATGGGTATCTTTGTATTATTTTCAAGTTTATTTCATGTTGGTTTTACTTCGGATATTATTTGCATAAGCATTTCGGAGACTGACCTCGCACCTGTGAATATTGTCACCAATGATTCTCGAGCCCCGATTCGGTACTTATATATTTTGGAGCCATTAAAATTTCAACTCAATGTAAATAATTTCCAATACCATAATATTTGTATGTGAATGGGATCGTATTAGTGCGTGTGGATTTTACTTTTGTATTAACACTCGTAAATATTCCTATATGACTAATTCTCACATTTTTATTGGCCTGGCTAACCTGTCAACTTAATTTTTTCTTTGGCAATCTGGCGTCTTGCAACATATCAGCTAATTTGTTCTTATTTATTAAAATATAAGAACGTAGTACTTCATTTACCCATACTGTCAAGTTATATTATGAATTAACAAAATTCATAAAAAGAGAGTACGAACAGTACGTGAACATTGGAGTAAGGAATGAACAAATACGTTGCATTCTATACAACTCGCTTAAAGTCATATGGCCCAAGTCGGGTCGCTCTCAGAAATAAGTATTTGTAAAGAAATTTCATTACCTTTTTAAAAGTAATTTCCAATTGTAATTAATTACTTTTCACCTAGCAGTAATTGTAATTGTAGTTAAACTCTTTTGAAGCAAACTAATTGTAATTGTAATTAGATTACATTTTGGAAGTAATTTACCTATGTATGCTGAGAACAGTGGCTGTTGGCGCCACGCACAAAGCGAACGTAAGTGGAGCGCAAGCTCGTCTGCTTTTGCAGGAATGGTGTGGCGACTTGAGAACGCCGAGGTCTGGTTGGCTCTGATCCAAGGATAGTGGGTAGACCTCAAGGCAGCTTGTTTTGAGGTCTACCCACCATCCTTCGATCAGAGAACCAGACCTCGGCGTTCTGACGTCACCAAACCCCCTGCAAAAGAAGCAGACGAACTTGCGCTCCGCACAGCCCGGGTATAGTGCCTGGAACGCGTCTTCGACTGGTGTGTTTAGAGTCCTATGCTGCGCATACATCAAAAGTGGTCCCCAAGTGGCAACAAATGACGTCACAGGAGCCGGAGTGTCATGCTGTTGACTGTCGCGATCCTGGCGGATGGCCGTAGAATTGCTGGCGAAAAGCGCGAGTCAACGCGAGTGTCGCTGTCGTCACGGCGTCCCAGGCGTCCCAACTTTCGGCTGCTGTAGCTTCCGTGGACTGTCACAGTGGGGAGCGACCTGCAGCAGAACAGGCGTCTGCCATATCCACCACAGCTACTGAGACACCACCAGGGTCGCGACCGGCGACAGCATGACACTTCTATGACGTTATCAGGCGGAAATCGAGGGACCACTTTTTTGGGCGCGGTAAACACACCAGTCGGAGACGCGTGCCGGGCACCATAGCCCGGGCGAAGTTCGTCGGTTCTTCTCCGCATTTTCGCACAATGGCGAAAATGCGGCTTTATGCTGTTGTAATGGTGCTGGCTCACCTATGTTAACTGGTAAGCGACGATGAAGGAAGGCATGACGTGGCATTTTTGGTTTGTCAATGTAATGATTAAGAGAATTGCCAACTTTTCTAACGCTTAGATGTTCTCCGATTTCCAATTTGCAGGCAACGCTTCACTTTTGTCGGGGATATTGTGCAATACGATGTTGCTTATCAAGGCCAGAGCGAGCCAACACAGAGCTGCGTAGTGCAAGAGTGACACGGAAAACACACAATTAGTTTTCTACGCACGTGTAGATAGCGTCGACTTGTTCCGCCTCGTGGACGTCTTGTGTTTACACACTTTCGGCGAGACAGAAATAAGGTCCCAAAGAAAGAGTAGGAAATGTATCTGGAAGTAGCAAACACTTACTGCATCAATCGATTTGCATATCAAATCGATTGATGCAATACCAAAATTTGACTCAGCCGGCATGAAACCCTTGAGCGTATATTTGTGCCGCAAATTTAGCCGCCGTATTCAGTCAGATATATGTTTACCATTCACAACCATTTAATAGCGATATAATTAATAATATAGAAGTAGCTTTTTTTTTCTCCGTACACACTTTAGAGAACGTTTGTAACTCTTACGCCATATCGCAACTGTCTACAATGAGACGCCCAGGAGAAGTACTAAACATACATTTAATCGGCGGGCTCATTATTGTTAATCAAAATGTCGGTTAAAATGACGAGATCACCTTTGGTTGTCACTGTAAGTAATGAAGTCCCAAGCTCTGCCCTCTGACAGGGCTGCATACATACATCCACACACGCATGCTCGCACACGCACACGAGTTCGACAGCCTTCAGCCTTGCACTCTGACAAGGCTACTCTGATTTCCATATTTTCAGAATTCTCGCAGGGGAACGAGTGCGTAGCCGCTGGCTACGGCTGCGTGCCCGAGCGTGTCTGTCCTAGGCAACATATCAAGAGGAAATCCGGCTGCAGTACCGTCTGCTGCGACCTCGGTGAGTTGATTGCAAGAAACCTGCCGTATCTTATCACCCGTACGGTCAAACTAAGCACAGTGGTGACGTGGAACACTAGACGAAACCATGCGCTGTCCCTGTTCGAGATTGTGTAACATCACTGACTGAGGTCTGTGGCAAGGCCTTGTTTTTTTCCTTAAAAAGGCGATGCAAATATTTGTTTTTCGTTTACTTTCACTAAATACTGTTTAGAATTCTTTATTTACATTCATGACCTATGAAATACGCTTTTCTTTTTCTACACGCAATGGTAGTCGCAGAACAAAAAATCCAGAAAAACTAAGCGTTTAACCCTTCAACTCGTAGCCACAACAAGCGGCCACGTGATCTGGAGCCGATGACGAAATCCCAGGGATCGCATTATTGGCGTTGCCCCACAATTTCGTCATCAAGTTTTGCGAAGGAGAGACTGAAAGAAAACGTTCGCTATTATCCTTCGAATTCCACCGCGATGAAGACGCTTCTTGTTTAGTGGCGTAGCGTTTGAGTATTCTTGGGTCACACTTTTGTCGGTAAGCTGGTGTAAAGTGAGAAACATTTCTACCCAATATCGTTGCATGGCCCCTTTATGCCAGAGCGCGGTCGACACTTCAAGCTAATGTGGCAAACTGGGCAGTGACAAAAGCGCAACGTCAAGGCGTTCGCTTATCCTTCTATGTGCGTACAATTATTGGCTAAGCAAACCAACCACAGTGAAAGCACCATGATTATGTGCTTATATTACGCTTTGATTTGCGTGAAACGAAGTATAGCAAACTTAGAAAACCAGATGACCTTTGGCCCGAAATTAAAGTCTGTCAAAAAGCGCCAGGTATGACACTTCGGGCGCTCATGATCCTAGTCCAGATTCATTACCCAAACTCCAAGAATGCGTCAACACCTAATCATTGCCTCGGCCGGAAGGTTTGACGCTCCATTGAAAAACGTACAGATGAGTTTTCCTGAGCATATCCAACCATATTTTGCGTGTTCTGTAAACTGCCAGTATAAAGAAAACAGGCATTATTCTACCTGTTTTGTTTTCCTGCAAATGTACATTGAACTTACTGACAAAAGACGTACACTGTAAGTATTGCATTTGAATCTTGGTCCCGTCTAATAAACGTTTCACAGGACGATCGGAGAGTGCATCTTAAACTCACTTATATACAAAGGGCGTCAATAGATTTACCTTGTTCTTCGGACTGAGAAAATTGCGCCGCCGCCTCCGCCAAGCTGGCTGGAACGGTTAGGCAGAACTCATAACTAAAACGAGCATCTCTTTTGGAGCCATTCAAACTGCAGTCGCACGGTACCTATAGTACCTTGCCAAACTGGTCATGTTATGAATTTAGACGTATAGTACAAGGATGCAGTCATTTAGAGTTGTTCTTTTTCCTATTTCAATTAAGTATTAATTGCGATTTCGTGATAGGTTTATCGCAACCATACTTAGATAGTAATTCAATTACAGTAATCGAATTACTGTAATTTCATTACTTTTCTTTGTAATTTGTAAATGTAATTAATTACCTTCGACTAAAAGTAATTGTAATTTAATTTAATTAGTTTCTAGTGTCAGTAATTGAAAATTATCAGGCACAATTACAATCACTTCTGCAAAACTTTGTGGCGCCGGCGGATCCTCTCTGAAAGCCTCAGCGCTCGCACAAGCGGCCTAAATCTCGGTGAACCATTCACACAAAGACACGCACTCACACACAGGTACAACAAAAATAGCATCGCATTGTTTGTTGTTTTGTTGCTTACACGGCGGGCTGAGAGACAATCATCTTTGGAGCCTATCTCAACGGCGCCGTGTCGCGCCGTCTGCAGTGTGAACAGAAAACAATAGCGTAAACATGCCAAAATATCGAAAAAAAAAGAATTGAGCTTCAGCTTTCAGCCGAGGTTGGAAATTTTAATCGCCTATGAAGCTATTTTTCTTATTTTTCTTTGCCAGTTTTTACGTTAGTTTTTCAGTACTGTCCCATATTTCTATCTTTGTATTATTTTAAAGTTTATTTCATGTAGGGTTTACTTCGGATATTATTTGCACAATCATTTTGGAGACTGACCTCGCACCTGTAAATATTGTCACCAATGATTCGGAAGCTCCGATTCGGTTCTTATATATTTCCGAGACAATCATTTCAACTCAATGTAAATAATTTACTATACCATAATTTTTCTGTGTGACTGCGGTCATATTAGCGCGTGTGGATTTTTTTTTTTTTTGTTAACACTTGTAAAATATTATATTTGACAACTGCCACATTTTTATTTGCCTGGCTAGTCTGTCAGCACAATTTTTTCTTTAGCGATCTGGCGTCTTCCAGCATATAAACTAATTCATTATTTTTATTAAAAATATAACGTAGTACTTTATTGCCCCAAACACGAAAGTTCATCATGAATTTTACAAAATTCATAAAAGGAAAGTACTATACGTGACATTGATGCAGCAATGCTTAAGCCTCCTCAAACATTGGGGCAAGGAATGAACAAGTACGTTGCATTTTATACAACTCATTTAAAGTTCTATTGCCCAAGTCGGGTCGCTCTGAGAAATAAGTAATTGTAAAGTAATTGCATTACCTTTTAAAAGTAATTTGTAATTGTAGTTAATTACTGTTCACGTAGTAGTAATTGTAATTGTAGTTAAACTACTTTTGAAGCAAAGGAATTGTAACTGTAATTAAATTACATCTTGGAAGTAATTTCCCCATGACCCAGGGCGTTTTAAAGTGGTAGCTTTATATGCCCAGCCACGCTCAAGGTCACTAATCAAAATGGCGAAACGCCCGTGGCTGATGCGTGTGTGGCTGAAGCGATGGTGGCCGATGAAGCGTATGTGGCTCAAGCGCCATTGGCTGAAGCGCCGGTCGCATAAGCTCCAGTCCAGTAAGCTCGTAAGCGCCGGTTACGTAAGCCCCGTTCGCGTATGCGCCGGTCGCGTAAGTTCGTAAGCGCCGGTAGTTGAAGCTGACGTGACCTGACGTCCTTGACGTCGTCCTCTAAGATGTGGTCTTAGACGTCGTCCTTGAGGTTGTCCTAGACGTCGTTCTTGACGTCATTCTGGGTGTCGTCCTAGATGCCGTCCTTGACGTTGTCCTAGACGTCGTCCTAGAGGTCGCCCTACACGCCGTCCTTGACGTCGTCCTAGACGCCGTCCTGCACGTCGTCCTTGATGTGTGTACAGCATATTGCAACCATTTCATCACCGTATCATTTCCTTTTCTAATTGTTTTCACTAACGATGTTCATGTAAAGCTATACACTCTAAAAAAAGGGGGTGTAGACGTTACACCCCTTGGCACATATACGACACCCCAAAGCTTCAGTTGGATGTCCAGCGCACTGACGTTGTGCCGACGCTACCAAATTTCACGAGCGGCTTGATAGCCGAGTTGTACAACTGATTAAAATAGTTAATGTAAGTGCGACTGACTGCAAAAAAAGTTATCGGGGTTTTCTAAGCTCAACTGCAAAACCTGTGTGTTTTTTTTTTTTTTTTCCTGTAGACTTTGGTACATACTTTAGCTGCTTAATATGTTATATCGCACCGTTATCAACCCTCTCGCAAAAGTTGGGGCAGTCAGTTCGACATCAGCGCGCTGTACCTCGAAGTGAAGTTTTGGGGTGTCGTATATGTGACAAGGGGTGTAACGTCTACACCCCCTTTTTTTAGAGTGTAGCTTTACATGAACATCTACACCCCCTTTTTTTTTTTAGAGTGTACCGCATTTCACCGCGTTTGGTCGAAGGAATAAAGGCGCATCAATTTGTAGCTGTCCTGCTTCCAACACGACCTTAATTTCAATAGTTAACACTTCAGTTATGCGTCAGCTTCTGTCGTGCGCACGTTACTAATGAAGTCTTGACGCCAGCTCGCGTTAAAGCTAGACGCTTTATTTTACAAATAACGACATGCAACGCTCATGCAGAAGGCCACTTCGCAGGAACAAAATGGCGTCATTCAGTTTATTCTGCTGCTGTATTTGCTTCCTAAAACCCGCACTTTTAGCAGTCCACTCTTGTCGCTCCTTTAACCACCAAGTGCGCCTTTTATCTGGGAACTTCGCTAGTTCACGCTAGAGGCTATAGACTTCTCAAAGACACGCCCCCTTGCTCCTAACCCGCCAGTTACTGTATAGTCTGGCCTATATTCTGAAGTGTATATCATGAACTTTTAAAGAACAGGCAAAGTAAGTAACATTGTTTCTTCTCCTTTGTTTTGCCTCAGCCAACGTCAAGACCTGCGCTGCTAGAGGCGGAGAGTGCAGCCCGGCACAAACGAATTGTAAGGAAGCGCCTGAACTGGCAGCCACTTGTGGACCAAGGCAAAAATGCTGCATCTATGTGTAGGGACTGTTCTTTCGTCCAGAATTTATTTTTCGGTATGAAGATTGTCCTTCAATAAAACAATATGATGCTCTGTCAATGTCTAACTGCTCAGCGTCGCCCTCAAGCGCTGCATGCTTGCATAAACGTTCACATCGGTGGAAAGCTTCAGGTAATTTACAAACGTGATGCTGTGAAACAAAAAGTGTTTAGGCGTTCCCATTGTATGATATCTATAGGGGCGCCCGGACGCATTCAATGTGAAGTACTAAATTACAAATTGTAAAAGAAACTCTTCAGGCTTCGTGCGATATAGGCTTTTTGTTTATCCTTTCTTGTCGTCAATTTTCGCTTCCAATGTTCATGGAACAGAATGGGCCAGGTCATGCGGGCATTCCTTTATATGCATTCAATAGCATGATACTTTGAAGGCGTTTATTGCTCTCTAGCGTGCAACAGTCGTTATCTCTACTTCGTTGAACTTGAACAAAAGATGACGCTTAAAGTTAGCGTTGCTCATTTTCTCGCGGTTTTTCGTTAAAAAGCCCCTGAAAAGAAAAACATGTTCTTTTTGGGGTTTTTTAACAGCCTGGGTGGGACACGCATGTCAAAAAGCAAATTTTAAGCGAGAAAGAATTTTGGAGCAAAATTGACGGCGAGATATTTATTTGAAATTCTGCGCCCAAAGTGCATGACGTCACGGAATGGTCATTCGCTCAACGAGATTGTCATTCACTCCTTCCACCTCAACGTGAGGCGAAGTCGATCCACCTCCCCTCCACGCGCCCGAAATACCGAGAGAGAAAAGAAGTGGAAAGGATGTGACTACTGACTAAATCGCGTCACGCGCCGTCAATATTGCTCTATTTTTTTTTTTTTTTTTTTTTGCGTAAACCTAGTTTTTTGACACACGTGGCCCAACCAGACTGTTAATTTTTTTTAGGGGATTTTTAAAGGGACGATGAACTTAGGGGGAAACAACTTTTTTTTTTCTACCTGGTTAGGCAGACATGTTTTGGAAGGTATGTTCGTCGAAAACCATTTTATCGCCCAATATTTATGCTACCGTGCGTGCTTTCCTGCCTCTTACAAAAAAGACTATTCCCATCCCATGTACAGTCTGCAGAAACGTGTACCTACAGGGAGCCAAAGCTACAAGAGAGAGAGAGCGTATGCCAACCTGTTCAAGAGGAGGGAAAGGAGGAACTGAAGAGAAGGGCCGGGATCCCCCGTTCCCCCTTTCCCTCCTCTTGCACAGGTCGGGATACACTGCCTCCCACTGTCGCTTTGGCTTTACTGCGCGGTTTTAGTGAGACGGAGTATAGACGCACTGCACACGCGCCAGGTTAGAGCCGCCATTGCCGATCTTCTCTCGTCTTACCCACATACCGAGCCACTGACACAGGCTTTGACGAACCTTCACAAAGGCCAGATCTGGGGAGAAGGACACAGTGCACTCTCAGAAAAAAGGGTGTATTCGTACACCCTTTGTCCCATATAATACACCCCAAAGCTTCAGTTCGACGTACAGCGCGCTGACTTCGATCTGACGGTACTAACTTTCACCAGAGGCTTGATAGCCGTGTGATACAACTTATTAAAATAGCTAATGCACGTGTTGCTGACTACAAAAAAAAAAAAAAAAAAAAAAAACGGGGTTTTCTTGGCCCTACTGCAAAGCTTCAGCGTTTTCTTTACGTGGTCTTTGATGCGTACTTTAGCTATTTAAAACGTTATATCGCACCGTTATCAAGCCCCTCGTAAAATATTGGGTCGTTTGTTCAACTATAGGGCGCAGTACGTCTAACTGAATGTTTGGGGTGTATTATATGGAACAAAAGAGTGTAAGGTGATACCCTCTTTTTTTAGAGTGTAGAATCACGCAAGGCAATAAGCTGGCCTGCAATGGTAACGATGATGTGAGGTAAACGGAATAAGAGGAAACTAAAACTGAAGGTCGGTTATTTTACGGCGCCCGTGAGTAGCTGCTGTAAGGCGTCTAACGCTTGTGTAGCAACATCCTATAGTCGGTCTATAGAGAAAAGGCCCTAGGATATGTATAGGACTGTGACGTGTCTCACCCGCTTCTTTTGACACATAAAGACGGGTGGTGCGTAGGACCGCAGTAAGATGGCGGTACAGCGGCCAATTTTCTATACGAGGTACCTAGGGCGGGCGTAGGAGAGGCCTAGGAGACGGCCATAGCCAATTCTCTATAAGCAGTACCTAGGACGGGCCTAGAACTAATAGCAGGTTTACACCCTACTAAAAAAGAAAAAAAACATTTGAAATACTAACGGGTGGCAAACTGGTCGACTCGTTTTAATCGAACGGGTGGTAAACTTGTCGACTGAAAAAACTCCGCCTGGTCCGGACCAGGCGGATTTTTTTCAGTCGCTCACCAGTCACCTAGCTGTGTTTGGAGATTTATGTTTGTCCTTTGTCCCTCTTGTTCCCCTTCTCCGGGGATTATTTTCGTCATTCTTGTCCAGCTGGCTTGCACCTTTGCATTTAATTGCATTATAATTATAACCCTAAATTTGCAAGCTTCACCCTTGTTAGTGTTAGACTGGTGGCAACTGATAGAACCCGTTTGCTCTACTGACGTCTAACCCTTGGTTAGCTGAGTTGGTAGAGCGCTCCACCTGTAATGGAGAGGTCCCGGGTTCGATACCCGGATTAGGCGGATTTTTTCAGTCGCTCACCAGTCACCTAGATGTGTTTGGAGATATATGTTTGTCCTTTGTCCCTCTTGTTCCCCTTCTCCAGGGATCATTTTTGTCCAGCTCGCTTGCACCTTTGCATTCAATTGCATTATAATTATAAAAGATTATTTTCAAATCCCCTAGAAGTTTATTACATACAGCCTATTCCGTAAACCAGCACGAACGTGCAAGCGATCTATGAAATGTGAAGAGGTACTGCTAAGCTTTATACAACTGAGAAGATTTTAAAGCAAACAAGAACCCGGTTAATTCTAGGCTAGTGTCTATTCTCCCGGCAGCTGAGTCTAACGGCGGACGCCTCATTCGCGGTTGCAATCAGTTCATCGAACGACGTTCCATCGACAGTTCGTTTCAGTGACACGCTATGTTTCATCGAGAGATTGTCTTAAAGAAAGCTGTGGTTAGCTTTTTTTTTTTAGAGCGCAGCTCTTAGGGACCCGTTTCCGGCTTGAGCGGCGTCGGCGCCGCCGTCGCCGTCGGCGTAACCGCGAGGTCACGTGACCCCCCCCCCCCCGAGGTCACGTGACCCACCCAGGTCACGTGACACCCCTAGGCCACGTGACCCCCTGAGGTCACGAGACCCCCAAAAGTCACGTGACCCCCCTAAGGTCATGTGACCCCTTCAGGTCACGTGACCCCGAGGTCACGCGACCCCAAAGGTCACGTGGGCCCCTGAGGTCACGTGGGCCCCTGAGGTCACGTGACCCCCTGAGGTCACGTGACCCCCTTGAGGTCACGTGACCCCCTTGAGGTCACGTGACCTCAAGGAGTCACTTATCCCTCAGTACGCTTCCATCTTCCTCCTCAAGAGCTGCGCTCTAACCGGCGTTACAGGGAATTGTAAACGGCTTTCATTTTTTATATATACGTCAAACCAGACTGTCGCCGCAAATGGTGTGTATGGGTGGGCCAAGTAGGTTAACAGTTTTGAAATGAGCCGTCGCAAACTGTCGCCTCGAAACTGCGAAAATGGGTCGGCCGGCCAGTGATACGCGCGCGGCAAAATGTCCTATACAGCGTGCGATTCGCGTAACAAATGTCAGGGATACGTTATAGTGTCGACGAAACGTGTGTCCATGAAACGTGTATCCACAAAAAGTTGCCCATATAACGTGTTTCCACGAAATGACAGGAGAATAAGAAAGTCAGTATTCTACCGGCAGTTGTCGCATGATCTCAGGGAGCTAATGGCAGACGACTGCCGGTAGAATTCAGGAGAAATTGTTCTCCCGGCTGCCGGGAGAACAGACACTGTCTAATTCAAGAAGTAACCTGGGAGAGTACCTGTAGAAGAACGGTCATTCGTTGCCAAGAAGTAGGTTGCAGTGCACTTACCGTAAAAATAGCGGACTTCAAAGGTGTAATCCGAGATATATGTCGACATGGGCACTGCAGAACAGTCACACGCACGCAAAACGAGAATTCCTTCTCGCTCCCTGAAGATTCAACACGATGTGGCACAAGCTGTCATTTGCTGAACCAAACCACACCACATTTCGGTGGCTTCTTTGAAAGAATCGTCGTTGCCGATATACACGTAAGACTTTTCGAACACTGATAGCTTTGGTACACTTTGAATAACTTGTCACGGACGATATGGACCGTTTTATCGTGGGTAGCGCCATTTTGAGTGCGAGAGAGAAGAGAAGAAAGGGCTACCTGCGCTTTCCCCCTTGCTGGAGCGGTAGAAAGAGTGAAAGTCCCGGATGAGGGGCTTCGCCGGTGTCGGGCGTATGCATTGCCCGAACTTCGTTCGCGCTTTCTTCTTTGGTTTAATCTCCCAAACTTAATTAGAGCCACGGGCTTGGATGTCGACAATCCTCCGGTCATCGGGACACCATTGCTCGGTGTTAGGGTGCATGAAAAATGACAGAAAGCGTCGAATGCCGCCCGAGGACCTATGTAGCTTGCATGGAATCCAGCAAGTGCGGCTGCAATGCTTTTAAACTCCATCGCTTTCCACGTAACTCTGATCTTCGGTGGCAGTGGGTTGCGTCCGCAAACCAAAAAGACGTTTTCTCAACGCCATCCTCTCGACTGTGCTCGAAACATTTTGTGAATGGAGCGCGCACCGAACGCTGTACTCGCAAGGTGCGAGCAAGTTTTCTCCTGATAATTGCTGTTTCAGCTTGTAACTTCTTGTGACTGAATTTATCTTAATATTGATATTTATAAGTGGTGACACTGACTTGAATGTATCATCTACAACACTTAGCTGAAGGCTCATTTCCGCGGCCAGGTGTGGCTAAAAATTGTCGAAAAGCTAGTTCTAAGGATATTCCGTTCTTTGTTCGCGTTTTGGGTCACGAAAATAGGGGTGAAAGATTTTACACTTCAAGCGGTCCTTGCGGAGGGGCTAAAGTTAGCAACTGCA